GTGCCTGATCCAACATTGGCGTCTCTTATGTTCTTATGACCACGCCGGGCACGCTGGGGGTGGGGCCACGGTCATCCGAGGGAAAACTCTGCGGTTTTCCCTCGGATGGTCGTGGCCCCGCCCCCAGCGTGCCCAGCGTCGTCACGTCACCTCCGGGTGACGTGTGTGCTGCGCGTGCGCGTGCTCCAGCCACGGACCGGGAGTCCCCCGGTAAGAAGAAATTTCCACTTGGCAACCCTAGTATAAGGCAGCTTCATGTCTTCGTTTGAAAACTAACTTTTATAGTAATCTCCTTTCTCCCTGGAACCAGGAACCAGGAAGATGAGCATATTTTACACTAGATCCAATGCTGAGTCAGTCCCTAGCAGAAATCTTACTTCTTCCTTCCCCTGTGACCGGCAGCAGACAGCGCTACATAATTCTAGTGCCAGTTCAGGCACATCCTTTGGTACTAAGGATACCGCCACTTTGGAACCCTACAGGACTTCCATCGCAACGGGCATCAGCTTGTTTTGGAGGGGGCGCACCTGTACAGGGACAGGTCACTTAGGTGATACAATACCGGGAAGGAGTACTGATGACGTGAGCTGAGAGCCACATGTCTGGCTCCCTCTGCTTTCCAGATTCAAATTCTGGTTGTAGTGATACGTGTAGACAACATATAAGTCGTCGCTTAGCCAAGCGGGCAAGAGAGAACGATATTTCTGGCATATCCATAATGAGGCCAGTAAGAGATTCACGTGGCACGGGGGGGGGGGGGGGCACAGTGAGTACCAGCAGAACTTGTCGCTGGAATCTCAGATCCCCCAGTGAACTGACTGCGAGTCATCACATAACGTCAAGTTGGAGCACAGTGCGGAAAAACCTCCCAAAATAAACACTTGGCGGATGTATTTGCAAAGTCGGGAAACGACCAGAGGGAACAGCTCCTATCTGTCAGAACCCACCGCTAACAACGAAGAACACGCATTCAGGAACGGTTATACTTTTATTGCAAAGCTATAGATGCAGTAACACAGGCACTGTTAAGAATGGCCCCAGCCAGTAGAGCATAATAGGATATAGGGTATTCGTATGTAAAAAAAAAACAAACCCATGGCATTGGCCAATTAGGCACCCTCCCGCGCGCGGGATAAGTCAGGCAACCGTTAGGTGGCTAAAGCTGAGAACTCAGAGTCTCTCACGGTACATAGGAGCTCTCCAGACAACACAACCTCCTCCTGCACATCTGTAGAGATAAGCGTTTCAGCAAAGGCATAACAGCCGGGATAGGAATGCAATAGCCATTAACAAGACACAGAATGAATTCCCCAACCCCCATGGTAGCATAGCTGACACTATCCAGGGTCCAGTAGTGGGAGACAAACATGATGCATGCTTTGTCCAATGAGCTGAGCCAAAGAACTCCTCTGTGCCTCTCCGCCATCATCCCGTGGTTCCAGGGTGGGACAGTCTTTACTCTGAGAAGTGCTGCCTCTTGGAATCAGGCAGGGCATTCCTACAGATTGTGACGGTGAGGCGAGGGGCTTTCTGTGGGCCCACAGACCTGCCCTGCTTGGTTAGCATGCGGCATCATTCTTGGGCCATCCCTTCCGGGGTTTGCACAATACCAGTTTGGTGGCGGGGGGGGGGCTGTTTTCCTGCCATTTTCTCTCTTCCTTTGCTAGCCTTCGAAAGGATAGTCCTAAAACCAAAGCAGAAGACACACTTTGCAAAACACGTTCTCTCTCCACGATGCTTGCCCATCCCCTTCCCCTCTTCAAGGGTAATGCCTGTTGGAGCGGACCAGGAAGTGAAAACACCCAGGAGCAAGTCAAGCCCAGCGGCCCTTGATGTGGTACAAGCTCAGTGGAGCTGACAATGGCCATGAGCTCACTCACTGCATCTTTCCTCAAACTGGAAGCAGTGTAGGAGGAGGCACGGACGGCTGTTATTGATGAGGAGTCTGGGGCAAGTGACCCCTGAGGTTTGGGCAGCGTTGCTGGCGCTTGGCCGTACTTTCTCCTGGCCACCAGTTCCCCCTGGGAAATTTCCCTGTCAGTCAAATGGCCAGTCCGCCCCTGCCTGTGCAGCACAGAGCACAGAAAAGGTACCCTGTTTCCCTGAAAGTAAGACATCCCCCGAAAATAAGACCTACTTACAGTTTCGCCTCTCGCTGAAATATAAGGCATCCCCCGAAAATAAGACCTCCCCGATAATAAGGCCCCCCCGATAATAAGGCCCCCCGAAGCTACCGTAACTCTGGATTCTGGGCCGTAGCAGTGGGCGCTGCCGCACAGCTCACTGTTGGCCGCCGCGCAGCCGGAGCAGACAGGAAGTGTGAGGTTTCTTTTAATCAGAGAGCCCGTGCCGACGCCAGGACAAGCTGCCGCCTGCTGCTCGCTCTGTCCTGACGGAGTGTACCGTATTCTTCTTCATGGAAAAATAAGACATCCCCCGAAAATAAGACCTAGCACATCTTTGGGAGCAAAAATTAATATAAGACACTGTCTTATTTTCGGGGAAACAGGGTAGCACTTTGGGTGGCGCTTCAGGAACATTCCAGGTAACAGAAATTCCCCTTTCCACACCCCAAGAGGTTGCTCATAAAAATTCAATGTAGCCCTAAGTTTTATATTGTTTTGATGAGGCACATTGGTGATCTCATCCAGTTTCTTTTAGTACTGGGCCGTTGTAGATTCTCCGCTTTGCTGTTTTCAGCGTACCAGCATAAATGTATCGGGGTGGGGAAGGAGCAGGAACAGAGTGATGCGCTTGAACGAGTTATCCAGGAAACAGAAAGACTTTTTATTCCAAGAGATGAAATTGCATTTGGGTAGGAAAGCGTGTTAGAAATTATGAGTTCATCACATGAGGCGAGGTTCCCTTTTAGAAATGGGCGGGGTTATCATGTATTAGAATGTAAATATTAAGTACTTAATGTAATGTTGGAACAACTGGCTATGTATGAAGTACCCAATAAGATCCTACACAATCCTTGGGAAACCAAATATGCCATCCTCTCTGTATTAATCTTCACCGTATTGTTTCACATCACTGAGCGGCATGGGGTTTTTGTACGATATGCATGCGGAGGGAAATGTTTATTTGTAATGATCTTTGTTGTTCTAGTGCTGCCTCGTAAATATCATTTTGAAGAATGCCGCAGATGAACCAAGCGAAGCTGCAAGGTACGTTGCTGAATGAAACAGAAAATACTGTGGAATACAAATATACATTTTTGTCTGGAAAGATTGTATGTGGGGCTGAACAGCATCAAATAGTTTGCAGTGCTTTCAGTAGAATGCAGTCTCAGGCCTGAGGAGCGAGGTATAGCCAGAAAGGCCCCTTGGTTGCTGTGCAGTGGAGTCTGTCTGTCTGTCTGTCTGTCTGTCTGTCTGTCTGTCTGTCTGTCTCTCTCTCTCTCTCTCTCTCTCTCTCTCTCTCTCTCTCTCTCTCTCTCTCTCTCTCTCTCTCTCTGTGTGGGTGCAGTTTATTTATTTAATTCAGTATTCATACCCTAAGGGGCCGCCGTGGCTCAGAGGTTAAAACGCTGAAACTGCAGACCGGAAGGTCTGTAGTTCGTCAGTTCGAGACTCGAGTGCCACGTGACGAAGTGAGTTCCCGTCTCTGGCCCCAACTCCTGCCAACCTAGCAGTTTGAAAGCAAGAAACTGCAAGTAGATAAATAGGTACCGCTGCAGAAGGAAGGTAACAGCGTTCCGTGCGCCTCGGCATTTAGTCATGCCAGCCACATCCAGGGCTCTTTTTGTAGAAAAAGCCCAGCAGGAACTCATTAGCATAATAGGCCACACCCAACAGCAGAAACTCATTGGCATATTAAGCCACAACCCTGACAGCACAGCTTATTAGCACATTAGGCCGCACCCTCATGTTACCAGAAGTGCTGTCATCCAGCCACACCCACCTTTTGCTTCTTATTCTGTTGACCTTGTTTGTGGTCAAAACCCAGGGCTTTTTTTGTAGCAGGAACTCCTTTGCATGTTAGGCCACACACCCCTACTGTAGCCAATCCTAATGAGTTTCTGTTGTTGGGTGTGGCCTATTATGATAATGAGTTCCTGCTGGGCGTGGCCAACTCGGGAGCCAGCCGGAACACCGTTCCTGTGCGTTCCTGCCCAAAAATAGCCCTGCACATGACCATGGAAAAGTCTTCAGACAGCGCTGGCTCTTCGGCTTGGAAATGGAGATGAGCACCGCCCCCTAGAGTCGGACTCGACTAGCTTTCGAGCAAGGGAAACCTTTACCTTTATATTCATACCCTGCCTTTCTCCCCCATGGGGCCCCCAAGTGGCTTGCATTGCTTTCCTCTCCCCCAACACATCCTCACAGTAATCCTCTACTTCAGTTAGGCTGAGAGTGTGACCGGCCACCCCAAGTCACCCGGTGAGCTTCCCCGGCAGAGTGGGGATTTGAACCTGGGTCTTCTTGATCCTAGTCCAACACTCTTAACCATTATACCACACTGGTAGTGGCACTGCGGCAAACCTAATGAGAAGCACTGATGGAATACTGCTAAAGGCCAGAATTATGTTGTTCATTTGCACAGTCGAGTCCTACTCTTCGCGACCCCACGGACCACGTCACGCCAGGCCTTCCTGTCTTCCGCTGTCCTCTGAAGTTGGCTCAACTTCATGTTCGTTGCATCTATGACACTCTCTAACCATCTCGTCCTTTGCCGTCCCCGTCTTCTTTGACCTTCGATCTTTCCCAGCATCAGGGTCTTCTCCAGGGAGTGCTCCCTTCTCATTGGGTGGCCAAAGTCTTTGAGCTTCAGCTTCATTATCTGGCCTTCCAGGGAACAGTCAGGGTTGATTTCCTTTAGGATTGACCGATTTGATCCCCCTGCAGTCCAAGGGACTCTCAAGAGTCTTCTCCAGCACCATAATTCGAAAGCATCTATTTTTCGGCACTCGCCCTTCCTCTCGCAGCCATACATTACTACTGGGAATACCATTGCTTTGACCGTACGGACTTTTGTTGGCAGGGTGGTGTCTCTATAGCTGAGGTTAAAACTTAGCACTGGCATGAGAGCATAAGCTGGAGAAAGCTTTTCACAGATCTGAGATGGTATGGCTAACTAAATGGTGTTTTTTCTTGTTTCCGAAGGTGCTTGGCTCTGTGCTGTCTTGGGCTATGGATATGTGAAGAATTGATGCAGGGTACAAACCACCCTCAAGTGAAGGATGCAATAAATGTTTTAGGTGTGACATTGAAGGTACTTGTATGGCATGAATCTGTGTAGTTCGACTGCACACAAAGGGTGTCTGAGATGCTGAGAGTATTAGGAAGTTTCGCACGTATTGAGTGAGTTTTAAGGTATCCATATCGGAAAGCTCAGTATTAACATGAGGCATAAAAGAGATTTGCCGAGTTATGCCTAGAAGATATGTCCCAAATTAAATTACCTGGCATTAGATGTGCTTTGAAATGAATCATTTGTTTACATGATTCCTCCATCTCCTTTGTGTTTTCTGGAAGAAGAAGAAGAAAAAGGCTGTTTGAGAAATATAGGCCCCGGTCACACGGGCAGGAAACCGCGGGGGGGGAAGCGTGGCAGATTGCCCCGGGGCAAACTAAGGCGCAGTTACCTGACCAGACCTCCCGTGGAAGTACCGTGGAGGTACCGTGGAGGTCCCGTGGGAAGGGAGAGGCGCCGATCGCAGGACACTCCCGCGCGCAAAAACGAAGTGCGCGGTTCGGCAAACCGGATAGTTTTTTTCTGTACAGCATGACTGCGCATGCTCCGTAGGGTGCTTTTGCGGATCCAGGAAGACCTGGGGGGGGGGAAACTTTGTCGCAAGGAAGGGAACATGGGCGGGCGCCGGATGCCACCGGAAACGCGATCAGACGCCCGCCCTTGCCCCGCAGTTTCCGGATACTAGTACCTCCGAGGTACTAGTTTTTTGCTGCGCGGTTTCTGCGGGAAGCCTCGTTTGAGCCACGGGAGTGCTACGCTTCCCAGATGTGCCGGTGAGATCGCGTCCGGAAACTCCGCATGTCTTCCGTCTGACTAGCGTGGCTAATGTTCCGTGTGACCGCAGCCATAATAAAGTTAAATTTGTCTGGTGTGTAGCCGCTATGATTGGAGGGTTTATGTATAAAAGAATAATTTAAAAATTGTATGCATTAATTGTTTCCAGCAATAAATGTCTTTGCAGCTATTATGGAAGTATATTGGCTTGGTTTTACACCTAACCGATGTGTGTCTTCACCCTTGCAGTTTTTTAACAAGCAGATTGCTCAGATTGCATGCGACATCTTCCAACTGCTGACATCTTACTGGGAAAAACTTCACAAATATGAATCTTCTCTCCCAAGAAAAATGATTGAAGTATGTTTATTTCCTAAAATCTTCACGTGTGGTATTTGTTAACTGATAACGCTGTATTTAGTTATTCACTGAACTCTCTAAAACTATTAGCCATGCGCGGCCCCCCTCTGAGGATAGGTAAATCTGCGGATCGGGGCCGCACAGAGGCTAAATAAATTTTTCGGCGGACTTGGGACATTCTCCAGGTTTGCAGAAAAATCTGAAATGTTTAAAAAAAATACTGGGGGAGGGGGAATAAATCCCCTGAAAAAAAGTTTGTAAGCCACTCTGAGACACCTTTGGATAGTGAAGGGCGGGGTATAAATCCAATCTCCTCCTCCTCCTCCTTCCTTAGATACAAGTAGAAATGGCGATCCCTGAGGTCTTCTATCAGTCAGGATGTAGGAGGCTCTCTCCCACCCTCTGACTGAGACGGAAGGGTACAGGGATCTCCATTCCTACTCGTTGGCCTGTAAGGTACTCCTGGGTTTGAACCCAGCTCTTGTAAGATTTGGGAAATTCTGCCAGTGGGTTGGGGTTCTTTCTAATGTTCTCAAGGACTAGAGAGGTGAGCAGGAAAGAGGAATCTGGGGAGTTAGTAGGCTTGTTGTTGTTGCTTTATCAAACAGTCTGATGAACTCAAACCTGTGTTCTTAGTGAGTTTTTGGAGATCCAACCTCTTCCTGTAAATGTCTCATTTGGGAATGTGTGTGTGTGTGTGTGCAGATCATCATTGCGACCATCTCGTTTCTGTTGCCCAGCGCAGAGTACTCCTCCGTGGAAAGCGATAAGAAGGTGAGTGAAGAGAAACAGCCGCTGGTTCAGTCGTGATCTTGCGGTGGAATCTGGTCTCCTTTGTAAAATACGGAGCTGGTGTGCTGTAATACTTTCGTCTCAGGAAAGTGTGTTTGAGGGGAGAACAGGCTTGCAGACTTAATGGCTTGCGCGTTTCCCGGGATAAAAAGCCCGTCTGGAGCCGGAGCTGTCCAACCACAGCTTTAGCGGAATTGTCTTGAACAGCTGCTGCACACTGGCCCCGTTTACCTGTTAGGGCGAATACGCATATGTCCTGCATATATATATACATGCATCTGTTTGTAAGAAAGAGCCAGCCCGCATTCACTTTACCAATGAAACTGGGAACCAGCACCTGGAGAAATGTGTTGTGCAAGTCCTGAATGCAACAGGAGAATTACTCAACATGCATGTCAAGGAAAATCAGATATACATAAGAACATAAGAAATGCCAATGTTGGATCAGGCCAAAGGCCCATCCAGTCCAACACTCTGTGTCACACAGTGGCCAGAAATACCAGGTGCCATCAGGAGGTCCACCAGTGGGGCCAGGGCATTAGAAGCCCTGCCACTGTTGACCCCCCCCCCCAAGCACCAAGAAGACAGAGCATCCCTTGCCCCAGAGTCCCTATCTATACCTTGTGGCTAATAGCCACTGATGGACCTCTGCTCCATATGCTTATCTAAGAACATAAGAACATAAAAACATAAGAGACGCCAATGTTGGATCAGGCCAAAGACCCATCCAGTCCAACACTCTGTGTCACACAGTGGCCAGAAATACCAGTGCCATCAGGAGGTCCACCAGTGGGGCCAGGGCATTAGAAGCCCTGCCACTGTTGACCCCCCCCCCCAAGCACCAAGAAGACAGAGCATCCCTTGCCCCAGAGTCCCTATCTATACCTTGTGGCTAATAGCCACCGATGGACCTCTGCTCCATATGCCTATCTAATTCCCTCTTGAAGCCGCCCATGCTTGTAGCCCCCACCACCTCCTGTGGCAGTGAGTTCCATGTGTTAATCACTCTTTGGGTGAAGAAGTACTTCCTTTTATCCGTTCTTACCCGACCGCTCAGCAATTTCATGGAGTGCCCACGAGTTCTTGTATTGTGAGAAAGGGAGAAAAGTACCTCTTTCTCTACCTGCTCTTTCCCATGCATGTATACCCTGTACGTGCCCTCACCTGGATGTCCCAGGCTCGCCCGATCTCGTCAGATCTCGGAAGCAAAGCAGGGTCAGCCCTGGCTGGTATTTAGATGGGAGAACCGCCAAAGAAATACCAGGGGCGTGGCGTGGAGGCAGGCGATGGCAAACGACCTCTGAACGCCTCTTGCCTTGAAAAGCCCACCAAGGGTCACCATAAGTCAGCTGTGGCTTCACAGCACTTTTCACCACCATCCTGTACATGGGTTGTACATGCATCGACTGTAACCTGTGGACAGGGCTACTGGGGGGGGGCAAGGCTGAATTTGTTCTTCAGAGGCAAAACCCCCCCCCCCCAATTCGCAGTGGCTCTTAATGCTTTCTGTTCACATCCAAGCTGCCAAGACAGACTCGGCAGTCAGAGAAATATGGGCACAGCTCATTTGTGTGTATGTTTCCCCCCCTGTTGATTGATTGATTAGATTTATTGTATATGGCCATTGGCCGTTACAATACAAAATTACATTCAAAGAATGCTTACGATTTAAAACGTTGCACTCAAAATAAAACTCAATTATACAACTAAAATGTCAGGATTACAACAGTTTGGAATTTTAAAAACATGGTATCAGTACTTTATAACTCATGAAACATTTCCAAGAGCCACCTTGGATCTAACTTTCCTAACTGCCAGTGCAAAAAGCGCCGTCTTGCGTGAGACCAAGGGGTTCGTATCCGACAGGAGAAATTATCAGCTTTTCGCTGTTGGATAAATTATGCACTTGACTTAAAATTCCAGATGGAAATCTGCTTCTGAGGTCCAAATACAAAGGACAGATCATTATATAGTGAAATGCATCTTCTGCGGAGGTTCTGCATACACAAATGTGTTGTTCCTGTGGTTCGTTGAAATATCTTACAGACAGCAATTCAGTGGGCATAGACTGAAAACAAAGTGCGGTAAATGCCGCTCTTAGACTCTGTACTGCAATATCTGTCATGCAGGATGCTCTTAAATGATTTTTCTTTATCCATTGATATCACGGTGCGGATTTTGACCGAGTTATTAACACGTTATCCAATGGAGCATCCTCATTGTATCTAAGATCCCAAGTGTATTGGGAAATAATGTTATTGTTATTTTCCCCTGTTGGATCAGGGTTTGGGCAATTTTTCTCCATAGAGGTAATGCAGTGTGCATCTTTCTGTTTTTAGTTTATCGTTTCATTGTTACTTTGCCTACTGGACTGGTGCATGACGTTGCCCCTCAAAATGCTGCTGGAGCCTGTGTTCACCTCTAGTCTTGAAGATCAAAACCCTGCTAATGCTCCGCTCCTTGATTACATCTACAGGGTAAGTGTGAAGGATCATATCGAAGCACTTGTGTTCCCAGCGCTTAATTATGATGTTTGTTACTAACATAAGCCGAGTGAAGCAAGTTGATGTGCTTTTGGGGTGTTTACAGTTAACACCACAATTATTATTGGAAAAAAGCAGTGATAACCTCATCGTGTTTGCCATAAATGTAGGGGGGGGTTCACTACAATTTGAGCAGGAGCTATCCTCTGTGACATTCTCAACACCTAAGTCTTGCTTACATACTGATATAATACTTTTCTAAGTAAGTTGTTTGCCTTTCGTTGCTTAATAAGTAGTATCGGGTCATTTCCTGCAGGAGGGCACAGGAGCGGAGCTCCAGCAGTAAAGAGCCCAGGGGGCCGGCACATGCAACAAAATATGCGTCGCCCGGGATCGAGTAGAAACATAGCAGCATATTTTGAGCCTGAATGATAATTGAGATCAGCGTCCTATCTGAATTTAATATTCTTAAGACTTGTTGTCTAACATTTATGAAACTGAGAGCTTTGGCACCACTATAATATCTCCTGAAGAAGATTCATTTTTTGAAACGTTGTTATGTAATCCGGAGATGACATTGTGTATCATGTTATAGTGCTTTAGATTGCAATACATAAACAGCATGCTTTATAAGTCTTATGACTGTTTGATTGTAGGTCAGACTATCATGACTGTTGGCTTTATACTTGTTTAACTGATTGGGTCGTGTGTGTCCAGATTTTTTTAATGTGGTATGCTAGTCATCATGGGTGATTGGGGGTTGAAGGTGTTCAATATAACTTACACACAAAATACATGACTGGTCCTGTGCACAGGTACATTCAGCCCCTGGTCTTCAGCTAAATGGCGAGCAAAATCCAGGGACAAAGGTTAGAGTTACAGGGAAAGAAAACTTTTGCCAGAGTAGGTCAGTCACGGCCGCAGCTGACTTTAAAGCATACTCTGTGTCAGTGATGGCAGTGAAGACAATGCACTCATCCACCACCGTTGTGTCTACTTAGCGCTGTTGACCGATGCTGTTCCGCACTGTAAGAGGTCTGTTACCTTGGTCTGGGGGAGAAAAGAGCAGACACCTCCTCAGCACTTTGTGAATAATATCGACCCCGGTGGACCTGCCTCCTCCTCATTAATTACAGAGCTGTGTTCTGGAGGCCTTGCTGTCACATGTAGAAGAATACCTTTAGCGCGGGGCAGCCTGGCGATGTGGGTAGAAGGCTGGATCCAGAGCACTGCCGGGGGAGTGAATCTGACAGAGTGGGACTCCGGCAGCCTGTTGAGCCTCTGAAATTCTGTTCTTGGGTGCTGAGGGACCCTCAGAAAGACCCCACACACACTCAGCTGCCTCCAAGGAGCCTGTGGAGCCAGAAGCATGGCCTGGAGGAGACCAGGAAACCTCAGAAGACCTCTGCAGGGCAGACGCTCCTGGCCCACCTGCTCCAGAACTGGCCCCTGAGGAGTCTGCAGAAGGAGCTTCTCTGCCAGAACTCCCCTTTGCCCCCTCCAGGTCCCGGGGCAGCTAAGCGTCAGTCCAGGATTTGATTCCACAAGTCCACCAGAGTCTAACTGCAGGAGCGGCGGAAAGCAGAGGGCTCGTGCCAAGAGAACCCAGCAAAGGCTCAGTGCCAGGCTGGCTGCCTGTGCTCCCCCTCCTGGGCCAGAACAGGGTGGATGTGATCAGGGGTCATTTCTTAGAAAAAGAGGGGCAGGAGCTCATTAGCATAACTCATTTGCATATGCCACACCCCCTGACATCACCGGAAGTGTGTCAGAAGGCAACACCCACCACTCAGGCTCCACTGGACTGTTTTGGATTGCCAGCTATTGGGGGGGGGGGAATGCGCAGATCTGCCCTCACAGAGGAGGGAGAGCTTGTACCTGAAGGCGGGCCGAGGGGGGGCTCTGCAACTTACCTGGCTGCTTCTTGTTACTCGTGGCCCGACTGAGGGCTGCTGGGAGCAGGGGGTGGGGCTTGTTGCATGTGCCTGCCCCCTGGGCTCCTTACTGCCGGAGCTCCGCTCCTGTGCGCTCCCGCAGGAAATGTCCGCTGGATGTGATCCTTGGCAGGATTCTGGCCCCAGTGAAGCCTGGACAGATGAGTCCCAGGTGCTGCTTCCAGAGAATGGAGGAGCTGCTGTCCTCTCAGCCAGTTTAAGCCTTAGGCTGAGAAGGGAAGAAGAGGAGGAGATTGGATTTATATCCCGCCTTTCCCTTGGAGTCTCAGAGCGGCTGACAAACTCCTTTCCCTTCCCCTCCCCACAACAGACACCCTGTGAGGTAGGCGGGGCTGAGAGAGCTCTCTCCAGAACTGCCCTTGAGAGAACAACCCTGAAAGAAGAAGAAGAAGAAGAGATTGGATTTATACCCCACCCTTCACTACCAAAGGAGTCTCAGAGCGGCTGACAAACTCCTTTCCCTTCCCCTCCCCACAACAGACACCCTGTGAGGTAGGCGGGGCTGAGAGAGCTCTTTCCAGAACTGTCCTTGAGAGAACAGCTTGACAGAACTATGGGTTGCCTAAGGTCATCCAGCAGCTGCAAGTGGAGGAGTGGGGAATAAAACCTGGTTCTCCTAGGTTAGAGTCTGCGCACTTAACCACTACACCAAACTACTCTGTAGGGACAGGCTCCCATGGTTTCCCCAAGTTCCAGTGGTTGACCATACAGCACAGTGGCAACGGGGCTTCCACATGGCAGGCTTCCCCAAGGTCATCCAGCAGCTGCAAGCAGAGGAGTGTGGAAATCAAACCCAGTTCTCCCAGATTAGAATCCGCACGCTTAACCACTATACCAAACTGGCTCTCAAAATGGAAGCTTTCTGGATCAGCTGGTCCACTAGATGTAAGCCTGTGTCCCTGTTCCAGCTCCTTGCCTCCAGCTCCTGTTGATGCACAAGCCTTGTTCATCCAAGCCTGGGGGCGCTGATACTTGAGGAGACCTGACTGGCCCTGCTTGCAGAATACAGGACCAGGGAGGGGGTGCTCCCTGTAGAGGGAGGGGGAAATTGGCAAACAAAATGGCCTTCCTTCCTTCCTCTGGTGGAGGAATAATACCTTTGGATCCAACCCAAAATACTTAGAGAAAGTGTTGCCAGCACCTTACCCACTGGATTCTTGTCCATCCTGGCTCATTAAACCTGCCAGAAGTCGACTGACAATGCCTCTGGCTTTAAAACATGGCACAGCCAAGACCCTTTGTGGAGGGGATTCTTTGAGTGATTAATAATCAGCCAGTTGTATATCTTACCTGTTTTTAGGCAAAGCTTTGGAAACATGGTGGCTCCAGGTGTTTCTGTATGAGGCCAGATTACTTGGTTCCTTTCCAATTTGTCTTCCAACCTGGGTGTGGCACAGAAACCACTTTGGTTGCTCAAACAGGTGGTCTATGCTGGTCAGTGAGTTTGGGAGTGTGTGTCCCTCTCAGTGGCTTTTGGAGAGCCAGTTTGGTGTAGTGGTTAAGTGTGCGGAATCTAATCTGGAAGAACTGGGTTTGATTCCCCACTCCTCCACTTGCAGCTGCTGGATGACCTTGGGCAAGCCGTAGTTCTGTCAGAGCTGTTCTTTCAAGGACAGTTCTGGAAAGAGCTCTCTCAGCCCCGCCTACCTCACAGGGTGTCTGTTGAGGGGAGGGGAAAGGAAAGGAGTTTGTAAGCCCCTCTGAGTGAAGGGCGGGGTATAAATCCAATCTCCTCTTCTTCCTCCTCCTCCTCCCATAGACTGCCTGGCCAGGATGACCAGGAGGTAGGGTTGCCAAGTACCTACCTACGAACCGGCGGGGGACACATGCTTCCCCGCCGGAAGATTCGTGCTTGTAACACAGGCGCTGCACTATTCCTTCGTCCAGACGTGACGAAGGCACGTAGTTGGGTGACGCTCTGGTAATGGAGCTGGAAACTCAATGGTACCATCGAGTTTTCAGCCCCATTGCTAGAGCGTCGCCCGGCTACGTGCCTACGTCGCGTCTGGGCGACAGAACAGTGCAGTGCCTGTGTTTTCCCCGCAGGAATGGTCCCGTGAAGAACTACATATTTCCCGCCGAATCAAGGTAAGTACTTGGGAGCCCTGCCAGGAGGGCACTGTTTTGCAGCAGGTGGTACATGGGTACTTCTATTCTGCCGCATGGCTGTTGGCAGGGCTTTTTTTGTAGAAAAAGCCCAGCAGGAACTCATTAGCATAATAGGCCACACCCAACAGCAGAAACTCATTAGCATATTAAGCCACACCCCTGACATCACAGCTCATTGGCATATTAGACCACACCCCCATGTTACCACACTCACCTTTTGCTTCTTATTCTGTTTACTCTGTTGTCAAAACCCTGGGCTTTTTTTGTAGCAGGAACTCCTTTGCATGTTAGACCACACATCCCTAATGTAGCCAATCCTAATGAGTTTCTGCTGTTAGGTGTGGCCTATTACGCTAATGAGTTCCTGCTGGGCGTGGCCAACTCAGGAGCCAGCCAGAACTCCGTTTCTGGCTATTGGCCTTCGGAGGGCTGCAAGGTTCCATCTTATCTTCTATTTTGTGTAACATCTGTGTGTGGAAAGAAATCACCCGGAGATTTGTCTCGTCAATATGCTGATGATAACCAGCTGTTCTCTCTTGCCCTGTAACGCCCGAGAGGTGACAAATGTGCCGAGCCAGCATCTGGAGACAGTGGTGGACCAAATGCGGGCAAGGAAACAGAAACTCAGTCTAAGCAAAGTAGAAGTATTGTGGAATGGGAATAAGGCTGATACAGGAATAGGTGGACAGCCTGTTCTGGATAAGGATGTACTTCCGCTGAAGGATCAGTCTGGAGGTAGTACTGAACTGCTCACGGTCTCTAGGTAAACAGGTGGGAGTACCTTCTGCCAGCTCAGGCTGGCTAGCCGGCCACAGCCATTTCTGGAGAAAGCTGACACGTTGGGTGAAGCCTGTATTCCATTCCCCTCCGTGTGTTCCCTTCTGCCTGATAACAGCCAATCTGCCCATGCCCATTACACTGAAAAGATTGTTGTTGTTTGTAAAGAGATATAGGGGTGAGAACCAGGGCAACATCCAAATGTAACCTAAAGATGTTCATGGTGGTCCAAAGCTTAGACCCAAAGTAAGAGGTTCGACAGGCATGATTTGGCCCGTCATCCGCCAGATGAAGCACGGTGTCTCTGTGGCATTTTTAAATTATGCTGCATTTCTTCCTAATGCACTTTTCTGCTTTCCTTTCAGGTTCTGCATAGTTGTGTTCATGGCTCAAGTACATATACCCAGCAAAGCCATTATCTGTTAAGCCTAGCAGACCTCTCCAGCGACAGCTACGATCCATTTTTGCCCCTAGGAAATGTCAGGAATTCTGAACCCATGCCGTTCCAGCCTTCTGCGGACCTGAGTAATTTGCTGACTGTTGTTGAAGGTAAGGGACTGTTTGGAAAGCAGCAGTTCATTTGAGTTGCGTGTGTACTAGGAATTGTAACACTTTTCGAGCCTTTAATATATATATATAAAAAACACACGCTTTGCAAGAGCTCGTCTAGGTATGCTCATGTGAAAAAAGTTTTGAGTTCTTTCTAGGAATTAACTAACGTCAGTATCTAGTCATCACCTGCTTCAGTAAAGGAAAGCTATTCGCAAACTAGCATGCAATTTTTGAAAATTAAACTGGAGCGTAAAGGAAATCTGCGGGTCCTCAACATGGTGCTGCACATACTTTCTGGGGACTCCCACATGGTGCAAGGGCCTGCCCTCATGCTCCTGTCATTTCACAGAATGTAGAAAACAGAATTGTTCGGGGGCGAGGGGGGGGACATTCTTACACAGGGAGCAGAGTTATAGTATAACAAGAAGAGGGACCCGCGATACTCGTGGGGGGGGAGTATTCCCCACGGCTCCCGTCCTGCAGAAGCAGGAGGACCTCCGGGCTGAGGAAGCGGCCACAGGTAAGCTTCCCCCTGGCCCCGACGGCAAGGCCCATGCGGCTCCCAGCTGAGCGACAGCAAGACCCGGATGGCTCCCAGCCGCCAGGCCCGCCAAGCTTCCCTCTCCTCCCCCAACGGCTAGGGCCATGCCGGGCCATCAAACCTTCTCCCCTGCCCCCCCTGCAGCAACAGCGAGGCCCACGCGGCTCCCAGCCACCGGGCCCACCAAGCTTCCCTCCTGTCCCCCGACAGTGAGGGCCGCGCTGGGACCACCAAACCTTCTCCCCCCCCCCAGCAGTGACAGCAAGGCCTGCGCGGCTCCCAGCCGCTGGGCCCGCCAAGCCCCCCCCCCCCCCACAGGAGGCACTGTTCTCAGTGCATTCCCTGCACATGCGCAGGGAACACTTTTTTACTTTTTTGGGGATTTAAGTATCCCCCGTATAGTTTTTTTTATAGATTTCAGATTTTTCTCTACATCTGCCCCAAATGTGCAGGAAAATCTCTTTGCCCCCTAGGTGCCCCCAATGTGCGGATTTAGATATCCGCACGCAGGGGGCACCTTGGCTATTAATATAGATGGATGAGCCCAGGAGGTTGACTTCTGTAAGGAATGAACCTTTCCTACATTGATTGTTCTGTTACCTTAGACAACAATTCTTCAGTTCCCAGTCCCGTTGCATTATTTCGCTTTATTAAGAATCTTGCTGTTAGAGTGAAGTGTATTATATAAGGAACAAATATTACCTACACTGATGCCATAAACAGTCGTGGTCCTGTTTGAGATCAGGGCCCTGCGGGACTTATTACTGTTCTGCAGGGCCTTCGGCTGAGGCGGTGGGCGTCCAATAAAAACTTGGCTTCCCCTGCTGAAATTCACCACCTCTGCACAGCCCAGATTAAGAAGGTCTGTGAGACTCAATGGCACCAGCTTGGAAACTCTGCACATAGACAAATAGTACAATCTTAATGTATGTTTTTTAAAAATTATTTTTAATTATTCTGTTATACTGCATCTGGTGTGTTTTAGAATCTGCTTTGTGATCCACCCTGAGCCTGCTAGCAGGGAGGGCGAAATATATTTGAAATAAATTAATTAATTAAAATTTGCTTGTGCTGGTTTCCCAGTTCTTCAGTCCCAGCCCCACTGCATTACTTTGTTTCATTAAGAATCTTTGCTGTTAGCCTAAATTGTCCTATATTATTTTGTACTATGAGGGGCTGCGGTGGCTCAGGTGGTTAAGACGCTGAACTGCAGACTGGAAGGTCGGTAGTTCGGCAGTTCAAGACCCAAGTGTGCCGCATGACGGAATTAGTTCCCATCTCTGGTCCCAGCTCCTGCCACCCTAGCAGTTCAAAAGCAAGAAACTGCAAGTAGATAAATAGGGACCACTTTGGTGGGAAGGGAACAGCGTTCTGTGTGCCTCAGTGTCTAGTCATGCCGGCCACATGACCACGGAAACATCTTTGGACAGCGCTGGCTCTTTGGCTTCAAAACGGAGATGCGCACCGCATCCCTAGAGTCGGATTCGACGAGCTTTTGAGCAAGGGAGACCTATTTTGTACTACCCTCACTGATTGACTGAATAGTCTTTCTCATTCCTCTAATCCACCCAACCCCCCACTCCATTATTCTGTTTTACCGGGAATATTTGCTGCTTGTTTCCAAACCTTTTATCATTCTTTGGAATTCACTTGCTGATTGACTGAACGGTTCTTATCTTTGTAATCTGCCTTGAGTTCCGGTGAGAAAGACAGACTGTACATGAAGCCAATAATAACAATAAATAACTCAGTTCTGGTATGAAAAATGAACTGTATAGCAGAGCTTGATGCCAGTGGACGAAAAAATGTTTTCAGTTTTTGCCCAATGTAAGTAGTATTGCTATCTCCTGTTCAGTGCAGTCTTACCTGATTTTTCATGTGAGTTAGTAATTTACTTGATTTAAATTTGTAATAAAATCGATCTGGGTTTTTGTTTATGCATCTCTGCAACTATTATAAACAGCTGTTTGATCCAAGCTTCTCTGAGCCAAGACTTCTGTACCTGGGGCACTGTCATTATATCTCGTTCTGAACTTGTCCTTAGAATACGGATTATAAAAAAAACAGGGCTATTTTTGGGCAGGAACACACAGGAACGGCATTCCGGCTGGCTCCTGGGTTGGCCACACCCAACAGCAGAAACTCATTAGGATTGGCTACAGTAGGCGTGTGTGGCCTAACATGCAAAGGAGTCCCTGCTACAAAAAAAGGCCCTGGGTTTTGACAACAAACAAGGTAAACAGAATAAGAAGCAAAAGGTGGGTGTGGCTGGATGACCACACTTCTGGTAACACGGGGCTGCGGCCTAATATGCTAATGAGCTTTGGTGTCAGGGTGTGGTCTATTATGCTAATGAGTTCCTGAAAAAAATGCACACAATGGCAAGGCACAGACTGGATAGATTTTTCAACATATCTTAGGGAAGCCCCAATCTCCAGAAAACTCTGAAATCTTAGGGGGATTTTTTAAAAAAACAAAAACAAAAACCATATAATAGAAGAAATGTCTGTTGTTTTAAGAGATGAATGTCCACCGAGATCTCTTGAGATTACCTTCTAGATCTTGGTGGCCCTTGCTTGGCGATGACAACAATATTGACAAGCCTTTACAAACTTTGGTTTCTGGCAGTCACGTTGGTGGAGAGGGGTCTGAAAGAAATAAAAATTGGGATGGGAGTAAGGGGAGAGAAGGAGAAGAAGCAGGAAAAGGGGATTAAAAGCTGGGTGGATGGGCAGGAGGAAAAGAAGAAAAGGGCAGAGGTTGCCTGGGGAGGGAAGGAGGGAAAGCTGGAGTGGATACAGGTACATTGGTTGATGGGTAGGAGGGAAGGAAGCAGGGAAAGGGGACAGGCCGTGGAGGCTGCCAAGAGAAAGTGAAGAACAATTCGTGTGGGAAAGAGGGATATGGTGTGGAAATGAGATGCACCCTATGAGTCCCCATGGGTCGCCCCATTTCTTATCTCTAATTTTCATCGCCAGGACTCATCTAAGAGAACCAGGGCAGATATACCATGGGAAAACTGGAGGAAGCATTCCTTCAGGGAACTAGGTCTCAGACCTTGTAGGGCCGCACATAGAGTGATTACGATAGTCTAAGCAATAGGTTACACAAGTTAGTAACTGCAAAGGAAGTATTCATGCATTTTGAGCCAGACATCATTATTTCCCTAGGGCGTTGGTATCATTTGGCCAGTTTATTCCAACCAGGTGTTCACCTAATGGCTATCATCATTATCAACAACAAACCACATCTTTTAGCTACTGATCTTAGGAGGCGAGTCTAGTGTAGTACCGCTTTTCTCTAGTTGACTTGGTGGCCTTGATTGAGCCTTGGTTTTCGTGTAGATCAGCCAGGCTGTCATTACAACAAGACTTGAAGTTAATGGGCAATCTTTTTTGAAATCTAGCTTTGACCCACATGTATATCCACCATTGAAGACAATCAAAATATAATTTTGCTTTCGGTTTATAGATGGTCTAACCATTGTTCATTATACCAAACAGTACAGTAGTTCTCTGTTTTTAGATGCTAATAGTCTATTTTAAAATGCATGCCCTTTTAAACAGACTTTCACCTTCCCGTATTGGAGAATTAAAATTTCAAAAGAATAAAACTCCCTACATAACGTGCTAGACACAATGTAAGTATGCGTTTAGGTTGGTGCATATTTCGGTGAGTTTATTTTGCTGATTCTTGTTTTTGTTGGTCACTTTCAGAAAGGAGGCGGAGAAGTTTGGAGCTGATTCCTTTAACTGCGCGAATGATTATGGCTCATCTAGTAAATCATTTGGGCCATCATCCCCTCAGTGGAGGACCTGCTGTTCTTCACAGCCTTCTCAGTGAAAATCACAACAACTGTTATGTGGAATCTAATGAATTGTCTTCTGAAGTCTTCAGAAGCCCAAACTTACAGCTCTTTGTATTTAATGATAGTACTCTTATGTCATACCTCCAGATCCCTTCAGAAAGGGTGGTAGATGATGAAACAACAAGAACCTTCTCAGAAGTAAGAGTAATTGTTAGGGATATTTCAGGGAAGTACTCATGGGATGGAAGGCTAATGCATGGACCATTAGCTGGTTGTCTTCCAGGTCAGAGTCAACAAAACTCCACTGCCATTTGGGACAATCATAAACAGAAATTTGAGTCTCCAATGGACTTCATTCAAACATATGAAGGAGAAGATGCGCTCGATAAGTTATTGGCAAGGATTGGTAACAGTAGTCCAGAGTGCCTTTTATGTCCACAGCTCAGACTAAATGAGCCTTCACCATTACCCTGCATCATGAGCCATGACCAAGAGAATGCTATCTTGGAAGCAATAATGCAACAGAGTTGCATAGAAGATGCGCATGGGTGCACTTTGAACCTCAGGATGGAAGTGGAAAGCCAGGCTGCGCCATGGCCTACCCAGTCTCAAGCACCCTTTCATTTGTGTAGGCTCCTGCTAAACGATTTAGGGATGAACTCTTGGGATAAAAGGTAAGCACTTCTGGTTTATCTTTATGACTGTTTTTAAAGGTAGTTAATTCGTACCATAGTATTCCCTATTACTGTGTATGAATGTGAAAGTTGGACAATGAAGAAAGCGGATAAAAAGAAAGTGGATTCCTTTGAAATGTGGTGCCGGAGGAGAGTTTTGCAGATACCATAAACTGCCAAAAAGATAAATAAGTGGGTTCTAGACTAAATCAAGCCTGAACTGTCCCTAAAAGTGAAAATGACTAAACTGAGGCTATCGTGCTTTGGTTACATCAGAAGAAGACAAGTCACTGGAAAAGACAATAATGGCCCCGGTCACACGGAGCATTAGACACGCTAGAGAGACGGAAGATAGGCGGATTTTCCGGACACGATCTCACCGCCACATCTGGGAAGCATAGAGCTCCCGTGGCTCACCCGAGGCTTCACTCCGAAGATGCGCTGTAAAAAACTAGTACCTCCGAGGTACTAGTTTCCGGAAACCGCGGGGCAAAGGCGGGCGTCAGATCACGTTTCCGATGTTAGCTCGTGGCATCCGGCGCCCTCCCATGTCCTGTCGCGAAAAGGGTTATTTTTTTGTCAAGTCTCCACAGGTGCGCACAAGCACCCAACGGCGCATGCGAACACTTGGGTTAAAAAAACCAACACAACCCCCGCGGCGCCGCTTCTTTGCCACGCCGCAGGAGTGAGGTATGATCGGCACCTCCCCCCAACCACGGGACGCCGGCGGGACGTCAGGTGGGACGTTTGATCCGGCTGCTGCACAGTAGTTCACTCCGGGGCAAACAGCCACGCCTCCCCCCCCCCGCGATATCCGGCCCGTGTGACCGGGGCCAATGCTAGTCAGGGCTTTTTTCTGGGGGAATGCACCAGAATGGAATTCCAGAACCTCTTTGACAAGAGGAAGACCCAACATGAGATGGATTGATTCCGTCAAGGAAGCCACTGCCCTCAGTGTGCAAGACCTGAGAATGGCAAGAAGCTGCAAGAAACTGCAAGTAGATAAATAGGTACTGCTTCGGTGGGGAAGGTAACAGTGTTCAGTGCACCATGGCTTTTAGTCATGGCGGCCTCATGATCACGGGGAAGTATTTGGACAGCGCTGGCTCTTCCGCTTGGAGACGGAGATGAGCACCGCCCCCTAGAGTCGGATTCGACTGGCTTTCGAGCGAGGGAAAACCCTTCACCTTTACCTTTTACATGCCTATGAATGTTGGAAGGAAAGCTCACCAAAGTGCCCCCCTTTCTCCCGTGGTGCTTCTCCAGTTACAGCTAGATCAGATCTGTACGAACGATAGTTTCATGAGCGATCCTGTGTGTGTGTGTGTAAATAAGTCCCCTTGAGTTCAGTTGGCTAACTCCCCAGTAAGAGTGTACAGCCTTGCAGCATGAGGAACGTTTTCACTCATGTAATCTGGATTTCACTCATACAATCACTCATGTAATCACTCATCTAATTCCCCACCCCGCAAGGCCCCTCCCCCCAGGGAGGCTGGGGAGTACGGATCCTTCCGCCATCTTATACTGTTTTTATCTAGTCTTATTTATTGGATTGTTTTAAATGTTGTTGTACGGTATTGTATACTATTTGTTGTAAGCTGCCCTGAGCCCTACTTGTAGGGAAGGGCGGCCTAGTAAATCCAATTCAATAACTAACTAAATAAATAAATATTTTGTGCTCCAGGAGGTGGTATGAGAGTGGTTCAGTAAGTTTTGCCCTGCAAAGCCCTATGCGTGTTTAAACCGAGCGCAATGGCGTTTACGTGCAACAAAGTAAGCATAGGACTGCTCCATCACAAATCCTGATCCTCAAGTTAGCGATTTCACTTAAGGCTGTTGTTTTCTTTTGCAAAGGCGGAGGAGGCAAGGACCTTGTACTTCACACACACACCCCTCAATACCCCAGCCCCTTGTGAAGTATCCCTTCAAAGCTTCTAATGATTGTGGGAGGGCGGTGGCAATCAGAAGCCTGGATTCTCAACTTAGCAAATGCAAAAAAAACCTTCTCTCTATCAGGTTTCTTTTCCTGGGGGCCCAAGTAGCACCCCCTTGCCTCAACAGCAGCCCTATGTGGAAACATCTCTTGAAGACTGTGGACGGTAGTTAGGAAATCAGGGCTGGTTCAGTATAAGGCAGTTTCATGAGTGTTTATGTGTATGCTAAGCCAACTACTGTATTGAATTTAGACAGCCCAATTCTTCCGTCTTAATAGTGCTATGGGATTCCCCCCCCCCCAAAAAAAAAAAATGCCACAGGGCAATCTCGCTTTGGCTGAATGCGAAGCAACAAGTCACTTGGCTTCCAGCCTGTCTGTGTGTGAAAATATTTTTGTGCTGAACTCAAGTCTGTCTATTTGGTGGGCTTTGCTGTCCCCTTTTAGTGGTGCAGATGAAAAACCATGTTTTTCTGCAAAGAATAATATATTCCTGGCATGTGGAAGACCATTGGGACTGGCTCCCTTGCTCGGTTTGCCTCCGCAGTGTGAGTTCTAGGCAGTCTACTATTAGAGATGACATGATGGAGGAGGAATTTGGAAATCCTTTGCATGCCCGGCATCTCTCCCCCCAGGATTCTCTGAGGGAACTGAGTTAGGGCTGCCAAGTCCCCCCGGGGGGCGGGGAAAACCCCGCCCCAGACGCCCATTCCCCGCCACCGGCAGATCGGGCCCCGGGGGCAACCCCGCCCCGACGTGCGCGTCACCAGAAAGTAACGTTAGGATGCCGAGCACGCTGGGGGCGGGGCCACGACCATCAGAGGGAAAACTCTATGGTTTTTCCTCCGAGGGTTGTGGCCCCGCCCCCAGCGTGCCCGGCATCCTAACGTCACTTCCGGGTGACGTGCGTGCGGCGCCCCGCACACGCGTGCTCCAGTCGCCACCCGGGAGTTCCCCGTTGCAGTGACTGCAACGACTTGGCAACCCTAAACTGAGTGTATGGTTTCTCCGCTACCCTCCCCCATTTTTGTTTTTAAGTGTCTCAACTGTGTTCAACATCCTGCGCTTCTGGGGCATACTAAGACCTCATCAAACTGATCTGGTGTGTCAGAGGGATCTATCTCTCTCTCTCTCTCTCTCTCTCTCTCTCTCTCTCTCTCTCTCTCATAATTTACAAGATCTTATTTTTCTGCATACTTTGGTAGACCCCTGCTTTGGCTATGGGTGGCATCATTTTGCTGCGCCTCTCTATTAGATACAGTGGTGATTGGACTCCCGCAGGGCTCTTTTTGTAGCAGGAGCTCCTTTGCATATTAGGCGACACACCCCTAATGTAGCCAATCCTCCAAGACATACTGAGTTTTCCAAGGGGTGGTATTAGAAATATTAAAAACTTGTGGTAAAAATGTTTTATCATTTGAAGGGCTTAAAGTTAGAACGTAACATCAATGTGCCCTGAAGCTTTTCTACTCTTAACTTGTATTTTCTATATGTATCTGTAGAAAAAGTTTTCATATATTGAAGAAAAACTCAAAACTATTGAGAGAGCTGAAAAATTTGGACTCCAGACAATGGTGAGTTCAGTTTCGTAGTTCCTTCAGCCAGGCTTGTACCAATGAATATGTTTTCAGAAGAAAGCACAATTATTAGTTTAATGCTTAAGAAAAGGGAACTATTGTACCTTTAAAAAAAAATTAAATGCTTTTGTTTCTTTGACTAATTTAAGTAGAAAAGTATGGGATATTATTGAAGAAATCCTGTATTAAAACCGATTTGACAGTTTTCGTTTGGTATCCTATCGAAATTTCCCAAAGGAAGGTCCATGTTGACTTTGGCACGGCTTGTTGAGATTACTGTGAAAAGCTTAAAACCATGGGGTTTGGTGCAATAAGCGTGGACTAGAGATCAATTTATCTAATAAATAGCATGTAAACCCGTGTTCTCATCAAGCAGCCATGAAATAAGATCTGTCCTCTCCCTTACCACACCAAGCTGTGAGTCATTGGTTACGCTTTCTTCCTCTCACAGCCCAAGGCCCAAACTCCATTTTCCCTCCCTTCCCTCCTACTCCTCAGCCACAGATTCAAACCCTGAATTCCACTTATTCCCCCTCTCTGCCACACATCTCCATCTCTCGGTCTCTCTTGACCCCTCTCACATCCACAAACACAATAGAAGATTCAGATAACATCCTTGTGGCAGAATGAACCCCCCCAGGCATCCTGTTCTACAACAGGGGATCTAGACCTGTGCCAGAGCCCAAAATGCTAGACCCTCATAGCTCCAGCCATGTTCCACTAGCCCCCAACCCAAATATGATGCCTTTTGCTGCTGCCACTACCAGAAACTTTAAGCTATGCTTGTTTATTCTTCTGGGAACCATAAAAAGGTAAAGGTTCCCTTGCTCAAAAGCCAGTCGAATCCGACTCTAGGGTTGCGGTGCTCATCTCCGTTTCCAAGCCGAAGAGCCAGCGCTGTCCGAAGATGTTTCCCTGGTCATGTGGCCGGCGTGACTAAACACCAAGGCGCACGGAACGCTGTTCCCTTCCCACCGAAGGGGTCCCTATTTATCTACTTGCCATTTCTTGCTTTCGAACAGCTAGGTTGGCAGGAGCTGGAACTAGAGACGGGAGCTCACTCCGTCATGCGGCACACTCGGGTCTTGAACTGCTGAACTACCGACCTTCCACAGCCTGCAGTTCAGCGTCTATAACCACTTGAGCCACCGCAGCTCCATTCTGGGAACCATACATAGCAATAAAACGATTTTTGTTTTTGTTTACATATGCAACATGGCACATAAGGAAGGGTGATTCCAGCATTTGATAATGTCCTTGGCGCACAATATCTGACAGTATAATCCTTTTGCACGTTTTAGTTCACTAAGATAGATCAAGGTGGGTAGCCACACTGGTCTGAAGCAGTAGAACAAAGTTAGAGTCCAGTGGGGCACCTTTAAGACCAACAAAGTTTTATTCATGGTGTGAGCTTCCGTGTGCATGCGCACTTCATCAGACGATGAAATGGAATGACATATACTCCTATATATACAACTGTATATTCCATTTCATCATCTGATGACGTGTGAGTGCGCACGAAAGCTCACGCCTTGAATCAAACTTTGTTGGTCTTAAAGGTGCCATTGGACTCTAACTTTGTTCTTTTTGTTCACTAAGGTTTAACTTGACTCTCATTGTACTAGAGCGAGATTCAAGCTCGTGGCACCTTGAAGTCCAACAGCCTTTCCAGGATTTGAGCTTCTGTTGGCCAAAGCTTCCTTCATCCGATAATCTACAGATCTCACAAAGGGAGCTTTGACTTTCAGAAGCGAAGATGCTGGGAATGTTGTGGGTCTTTAAAGCACGTCCTGTACTTGGACCTTGCTCTTCCACACTGCAGGCTAGTACTGCTACCCACCTGAAGCTATCACTAAGAAACATATGTATGAAATGGGGGGGGGGGGGGGGGAGGAGGCAAAGATGGTAAATTGGAATGTTATTCTAATATTGAGTTTTCACAATATGAAAAAATGATCAGGTTTGAGTTAAAAAACGACAGTTGTAACCAGGCATGGCCTCTGGTATAGTGGCTCAGAGGTCAAGACGCTGAGCTGCAGAGCGGACGGTCTGTAGTTCGGCAGTTCAAGACCCTAGTGCCGCGTGACGGAGTGAACTCCCGTCTCTGGCCCCAGCGCCTGCCAACCTAGCAGTTCGAAAGCAACTGCCAGCCACATGAACAAGGAGAAGTCTTCGGACAGTGCTGGCTCTTCAGCTTAGAAACGGAGATGAGCACTGCCCCCTAGAGTCAGATTCGACTGGCTTTCAAGCAAGGGAAACCTTTACCCTTATAATGATACAAAGCTAAAAAATGTGTATTGCTTCTTACCATTTCGTATTTTTTCTGTGTAGCTTCTCACACTGACATATACTCTAATCTGATCATTTGTTTTAAGATTTCTTTTATTTTCTTTTTTCTTTTTTCATTTCCAATTGTAGCCGTGAAACTCACAAGATCGCAGTGTTTTACATTGCCGAAGGACAAGAAGATAAATGCTCCATTTTGGCCAACCCGAGAGGCAGCCAAGCATATGAAGATTTTGTGGCTGGACTCGGTTGGGAGGTAACTCGTTATCCAAACATATAGCCCACCGACAGTAGGATGAGAGTATGCTTCTGATTCAACGGATTGCCGTGTTCTTGGATGATAGAAAAACTGAGGGTCACAGTGTTAGGAAGATGTTAGGAAGTGTTAGGAAGAGCCAGTTTGGTGTAGTGGTTAAGTGTGCGGACTCTAATCTGGGAGAACTGGGTTTGATTCCCCACTCCTCCACTTGCACCTGCGGATGTGACCTTGGGTCAGTCACAAGCTCTGGCACAGCTGTCCTTGAAAAAGAGCAATCTGTGTCAGAGTTCTCTCAGCCCCACCCACCTCACAGGGTGTCTGTTGTGGGGAGGGGAAGGGAAAGGAGTTTGTAAGCCGCTCTGAGACTCCAAGTGAAGGGCAGGGTATAAATCCAATCTCTTCTACTTCTTCTTCTTCATATGCAAAAGTATATAAAGGTAAAGGTCTCTCTTGCTCGAAAGCCAGTCGAATCCAACTCTAGGGTTGCGGTGCTCATCTCCGTTTCAAAGCCGAAGAGCCAGCACTGTCCGAAGACGTTTCCGTGGTCATGGGGCCGGCATGACTAAACACCAAGGCGCACGGAACGCTGTATATAACACTGTGTATAACAGATGTATGCTTAAGGTAGATCAGTTTTGTGCTTTTTATTTAAAATGTGCACAGAATTGATCTACCTTAAATATACATCTGTTATACACAGCGTTCTATACTTTTGCATATGTTCTTGAATGAGGCAGTACTTTCCTACCAGTTCAGATAAAACGATTTGGTTGTTTACCCTGTGAGGCAGGGTTAGGTTGAGAGTGTCTGACTGGCCCAAGGTCACCCAGCGAGTTTCCATAGCAGCATGAGGATTTGAACCAGGATCTCACAAATTCTAGTCCAACCCTCCAACCAGTTCACCGTACTAGCTCTGTTGAATGAGACCTGGAGGGGAGAGAGGATCTGCCCCTATAATGTACCGTTTGAATCAGGGCTCTTTTTGTAGATAAAGCCCAGCAGGGACTCATTAGCATAATAGGGCACACCCAACAGCAGGAACTCATTAGCCTATTAGGCCACACCCACGACAGCACAGCACATTGGCATTTTAGGCCACACCCCCATGTTACCAGAAGTGTGGTCATCCAGCCACACCCACCTTTTGCTTCTTATTCTGCTTACCTTGTTTGTTGTCAAAACCCAGGGCCTTTTTGCAGCAGGGACTCCTTTGCATGTTAGGCCACACACCCCTAAAGTAGCCAATCCTAATAAGTTTCTGCTGTTGGGTGTGGCCTGTTATGCTAATGAGTTCCTGCTGGGCGTGGCCAACTTGGAAGCCAGCCAGAACTCCCCAAAAATAGCCCTGGTTTGAATCAATTGAAGTGTTTTTCACTTTTGAGACCTTTAATTTTCACCGTCTTTGTGGGTGCTGTTTCTGGTAAGTCATGAATAAATGTTGGGAAGAGAATCCTGCTATACTTTTTTTTTTTTTTAAGTTGCTTAAGTATCTGATTAAAAATCATATACATATATTCTGCTGTGCAAAGTTAACATAACCAATAATACAAGTCCCTGACCTGAAGAGCTTTTAATTGAAGGTATAACTGTAGAGGGTAAGATTCCAAAATGAACTCTGTGCCAAGTGCCCTTTTAAACAGGATCAGTCAAGTATATTAACACAAATTATAGGACCTTAGGTGCAGGCAAGAGCATAACAAATGTTGTGGCATCTGTTTTGTATATAGCTCCATGAAATATTAAGAAACTTCTGGGTGTTGGGGTTGTTGTTTTTTTAAAATAAAGGGGCACTAATTAAATTTTAATGTTAAAAACAAACAGTGCTTCATCTTTACTGTTGCAGCCAATGCTCCCGCTAAGCTGTGGAGTCTTGTGAGCAAAAATTCTGCTTTGTGAGCTACTGGCATTAAAGTTGTGAGCGAGCGATTTGGCTGCTGCATAAATCAGTTTGCTCTGGACCCCTCCTTCCTGAGCTAAGACAAAAATGTGTGAGCCGGAGGCTAAAAAACTGTGAGCTGGCTCACACTAACTCAGCTTAGAGGGAACACTGGTTGCAGCCACCATAAAATGGGGATTTTTAGAGATCTGTGTACCAGGAAATAAGTCTCAGTAATTTTAGTGGAACACACTGCTGGGTAAGTGTGCGTAGGATTGAAGCTGGAAGGTAAATGTAATTCTTCCCCTTTTTTTGGTTACTTAATTAAGGTTGAACTTTCAACTCACTGTGGATTTATGGGCGGCCTTCAGCGCAATGGGAGCACAGGGCAAACCGCACCTTATTATGCCAGTTCGACGGTGGAGGTTATTTTCCATGTGTGCACACGCATGCCGTCTGATTCTGATGATTCACTGACCAAAAAGGTAACTGAAAATGGAAAAGTCAAAGAGTGCAATGGATATTTAAATATATTTGTTCTGGAACACCCAGGCCTAAAACTCTCAGGAGGGACACTGGATCTTGGATCGCACCAATTTGCTTTAGAGCTAAATTCCTCTCCTTTTTATGATACAGATCTTTTGGCCACAGCCTTTTTGGCCACGGATCTTTTGGCCACAGCCTTCTGCCTAATCCCACATAGGGAAGGGGAGGGGTTTTGTTGTTGAGTCGCACTGTCTAACCATCTCATCCTTTGCTGTCCCCGTCTTCTTTGACCTTCAGTCTTTCCCAGCATCAGGGTCTTCTCCAGGGAGTGCTCCCTTCTCATTGGGTGGCCAAAGTATTTGAGCTTCAGTTTCATTATCTGGCCTTCCAGGGAACAGTCAGGGTTGATTTCTTTTAGGATGGACTGATTTGATCTCCTTGCAGTCCAAGGGACTCTCAAGAGTCTTCTCCAGCACAGGAGTTCAAAAGAATCTATTCTTCAGCGCTCGGCCTTCCTTATAGTCCAACTCTCGCAGCCATTCATGACTACTGGGAATACCATTGCTTTGACCATGCGGACATTTGTTGGCAGGGTGATGTCTCTACTTTTTATCATGCTGTTTAGGTTCGCCATCGCTTTCCTCCCAAGGAGCAGGCGTCTTTTAATTTCATGGCTGCTGTCACAATCTGCGTTGAGGGGAGGGGAACTAGAACTAAATTGAAATGGTGCACTCTGAAATGTGCAGGAAAAAATGGACCAAAAAAAAGGTTCTTTACAATCCATCAGGGGAGTCACACTGAGGTTAGGATCCAAACCACTCCTCGCTTGCCTGCAAAAGACCTCCAGGTGGCTTAGATGTGGACCCCAGGTAGTCCTCCGCCCAGGTAGCTTACAGGCCTTGTTTAGTTTTGCAATTTATTTTTTTTAAGAAATTTAGAATGTAATTTTTATAACTTATAAAATCGGTATTTAGAAGGTTAGAATATTTTCAACCAGGTATATTTGAAAGTTGAAATATTGTTAGATTCTTTAGCAGTCTGTACTTCCAACTAGAACTGTTCAGGTGTTACGACGGCTCCAGTCAATTCTCTGCCTCGTTTTCTTTCCTTTGCTGGTTTCCAGGCATGACAAGCTTGTCAGCTAAGCAAGTAGTTCAGCATTCTGCTTAATAGCCTGACAGAAGGTCATACCACCTGCTGGTCAGAAAATCTGCCTCTAAACATGACCATTCAGAAGCAGGCTGTGATGCACCGAATCCAGCAGATGTCATAGGAATACCTAATTATTAAATTCTGGGTTTTGTATGAAAATAGTCGAGCTCTCACACGCCTCACCTAAAATTAATATTAATAACTCTGCTGTAGAGTGGCGCTGTGGCACAATGGAACAAAACAGTGAGAAACAGAATTTTTGAATTCTGAGCAGCATTGATACTGCTAGATAGAAAGTACATTTTTTGTGCTCGTTTAGGGCTGTAAAATACGAACCACTATGAAATGGTTGTCCTTAACAAAAGATTTCTTCTGTTGTAATAATAATGGATGGGGTGATACCTTTCAGATCACTAGGGTATATAATTTTAGCAGTGTATTGAGTGGGGGGGGGGTCTCCTATTCAGATGTCTGGTAGCCATCATAGACATGAATAGTGGTAGCAACAACCATAGTCATTCCTTGTCCAACCTGCGTGTAGCTTTTTCGGCAAAAACTTAGCAGCAAAGAGCTTCTTGGTCTGGAAAACTGCCCCCCCCCACGCACACACACTGAACTCTTGTTCCTTTACTCAAGAAATTCGTTAGTCCTAGCCCGATTAGATTTTTAGCAGCTAATCTTAACTGCTGTAGGGGTTTGCAGACTGGAGACAGGGGCCGCGCTATTGGATTTGCTCAATTCATTTGACTCTAGGACTATAATTGCACTTATGTCTTACAAGGCTTTTCATAGCCTCAGGCTGGCTGGCAGCAGAAAACAAATTGGCAGTGAATACAGTAAGAGTGAAAGGGAATGAAAGGCACACATTATCAGTCTCCCGGCAATGCCGTTCTGGCAGGAAGTTTCTTGGTTAATTTACAAATAAAACTTCGATTTTAGGATGGGCACTCTGTCAGGCAGACAATGGGAATGTCAGGGGCTGGTCATTACTCAGAGAGCGTAGCGGCCAGGCCTGGCCAAAAGCAGAAGTTCTTCAATCACACAAACAACTCCCTTCTGGAGCCAGCTGGCTCCATGATGCAATTAATAGGAAAAGGAGGTCAGACTATTAGGTGTGTGTGTCCCCATGACCACTGTCGGCCGTGGTGTGCTGCCTGGCAGGCAGGGAGCAGAACAGCAAAACGCCGAATGCCTTTAGCGCTATTGAATCAAGTGGCATATGCCGAATGACACACAACCAGGCCTGGAACGTGCAATTTGTTTTTGTACAGCTTGGAAAATAATAAATTGTCCAGTAACTGACAAATAGCTTCTGATGGGCAGATTGTAGTTGGGGAAATTAAGTTGGGACATGGCGGATAATGATAAAATTCAAATTAGGGTCTTTGTTGACCTTTTGTCACGCAAACATGCTTTTTGATCTGTCCCCGATGCATCTATGGCTGTTTACTTCTGGGGTTGACTATTGTAAGGAGATAACGATTGGTACTCTTAACTTCTGCATGGTGGCTATTACTAATACCACCCTGTGAAGATCCTCTAAAAACTGTCAAATGGCAAAGGGCAAATTACCGGTTAATGACTGCAATTTACAAATCTGTTGCTTTTGTTTTAAATACCAGCATCTCAGGTATCGCGTTAATAATGGGAATGGTTTAAAAAAAAATTAAAGGCTCAGTATTATATATTAAAATGGCTTTGTGGTATATCTTTAGAATGAAAGAATTATCTAAAATATTTCTAGTGATGGCAGAATTTCCCAAGCCCTCCTTAACCATTTTTTTTCTCATGAATTGTATTTAAAATCTGACACAGCTAAAGACTGAACAATCTCCTGAAGCCACTTTTCCCCGCTGTTTTTATGTTTTGTAGAGTGCTTCCTCCTGACAGTGCCCTCTCAGTCTTCTTTGCATAAGGCTGAATTTATTGGTTGCCCATTTAAACAATTGCTTTCTCTCTGTCTTGGAAACAGATCAAGATGGGTAGCCGTGTTAGTCCGTCTGTAGCAGTAAAAAGGAGCTGCGGTGGCTCAAGTGGTTAAGACGCTGAACTGCAGGCTGTGGAAGGTCAGTAGTTCAGCAGTTCAAGACCCAAGTCTGCCGCAAGACGGGGTGAGCTCCCGTCTCTAGTTCCAGCTCCTGCCAACCTAGCAGTTCGAAAGCAAGAAATTGCAAGTAGATAAATAGGGACCACTTCGGTGGGAAGGTAACAGTGTTCCGTGCGCCTTGGTGTTTAGACATGCCGGCCACATGACCACGGAAACGTCTTCGGACAGCGCTGGCTCTTCGGCTTTGAAAAGGAGATGAGCACCGCAACCCTAGAGTCGGATTCAACTGGCTTTCGAGCAAGGGAACCTTTACATTTACCTTTACCTAGCAGTAAAAAAGCAAGAGTTCGGTAGCGTCTTAAAGACTAACAAAATTTGTGGCAGGGGATGAGCTTATGTGAGTCACAAAAGCTCCTACCCTGCCACAAATTTTGTTAGTCTTTAAGACGCTACCGGACTCTTTCTTTTTGGGGAGACATCCTTTTAGATACTTGTGAAGCATCCTGTTTCCTTTTAATGTTTCCTGTAAGCTCCAGTTCCATCATTCTGTCATCCACACGTTATCTTAAAATTTATACTTTGTTCCTACCCCCTAACGTATCCCTGTGTGCTCTCTTTTAAATCTGGTGACTGAAGTGGGTGTGTTACGTCACTTGTGGTTGAATGAGTGCCAGGTATCGCGGTAGACTTAACATCTTCTGTTTGATGGCTTCTGTTAATACAGATAGCGCTGACTCATGCTGAGCTCGTGATCCAGTACACACTACAAATCCTTTTTTAGCAATGCTGCCGTCAGCCTAACCATAGCTACCACCATTTTCTTTTCAGATAAAACCTTTTCTTCAATTCCTTGTTTTTCAGCCCAGATTTCCAAATTTTTCAGGGAATTTGAGATGGTGAAAACACGCCTTGGTAGTTGTCACCAAGCATGAGAGTTACTGTGAATTCACTGGGCACGATGGCTTGACCCCCGTGGGTCTCTTCCACTGGCGGAGGTGTTTTTGTCCAGTGAAAGAAGTCTTCTCCAGTGCGAGATCCTCAGAAGAGTAGCATGCATTAAGGGAGAGTCTACTTCTGCTAGAGGAAGCCCCATCCACTGGCAGAACAGGGTCACCCTGGCCTCTCTCTTATCACTGTCTCTTCCCATTTTTCAACACCTGTGGTCCTTGGACTTAAAACAAGCCCAGCAGGTGACCCGTGTCAACAAAGCCATGAATTAGGGCAGGTTGAAAGGTAGACAGTTGCCTGAGGCCTCAGCACCAAGTGAGTGTTTGCGGGGGTCATTTTGTAGAAAAAGAGGTGCAGGGGCTCATTAGCATAACTCATTAGCATAACTTATTTGCATATGCCACACACCCTGACATCACCGGAAGTGTGTCAGAAGACAACACCCACCACTCAGGCTCCACTGGACTGTTTTGGATTGCTAGCTATTGGGGGGGGGGGGAGGGCGCGGGGGGGGGGGGGCTG